GATCTGTTGAATGAAGTATGGAGTGCTGGGTTTGTTCCTGGGAGACTTGTAGCTGACATAGGTGTAAAGGATAACCCGGAAGGCTTCCTTGCCAGCAATAATAATCGGCAACAAACTCGGCCTGCTACAAGTCCTCAGTGAAGCAACACAGAAAGGAGCAGGTACTTCTTCCTAAACAAATCACCCAAGAGAACTCAGTAGTTGAACAAAATCTTAAATCCTTAGGAAATTTCCCTAATGTATGCTGGCAGCAACAGAACAACCGTGCCAAAAAGAATTTTAAAAAAGGCCCAAGTTCACAACAGTTGATTTTTAGGACCAAAATGGGGCCTAGTTGTTTAAAACTCAAAGTGCTCTCTTTTGCCACATCAGCCTGCGGAGTTTCCAGGAACTATCAGTATCAAAACGTAGCAGAAATTGCTTAATATTTCTCCATTTTTAAGGTATTACACAACATTCCTATATGTTGGACAGTGTGTATTGAAATTATATTATGTGAATACCTTATTAAAGTCAAAACAGAAGCATAACCAAAATTTTATATTTAAAATTTCAGAGAATCATAGAACGATATATATCAAGTAGAGCATTGTATTGGTAAAAAATTCTTCAATGTCTGAACATTTTCAGAAAACTCTAGAACCATTTTCAGCTTTCAGGACATATTTATAACCTAAAACATTTTTTTTAATCCTTTTGCCCACCCTAAGGCAGTCTGTGCCCTTTTCCAATTTTTCAATAATTACCATTCCAAATATAAAAACATAGATTAAAGACAAAATAATAAATGAAAATTTTTAAAAATCTAAAAGATTCCCCAATAAAAACACAGTAAAACTTCAACTCAGTGCAAAATTCAAACCTAATTTCTCTTCTGTACACTTACTAGTCATATAGAAACTTACCTCTTCCTCTAGATCGTTCAGTTCCATTTTTTAAAAAGTTCATGTTAAAATATCTTAACGTGTAAATAAAGTTCTACTAAGCACCTCATATTCTTGAGAAAGATTTCAGATTCTCATACATCTGATACACTCCTGTTTCCACACAGATTGTGATCCTGTTTTGACACTTGCGTGGTTAAGGGGTGCTGTAGGTGGAGTTGTGACTACCAACACAGAATCCAATTTCATGGCCGTCACTCCTGATTAAATATGGCTTTTTTCTAAAATATCATATACATTACTACCCTCATAAAAATCTACAATTGAAAAGAGACATCCTGAATTTGATAACTGATAAAAATTAAATTGAATGTTTTATTCTATAGTCAATTCATATAGAATACATGATTTTTACCATGTAAAAGATATTCAAAGATTGTTCTCAAGTAGATAAGGGATTTTGCTGTCTTATATAGACCTGCTTTAAGGGAAATGGAGAACAAATGCTGTTAGTGACAGCTACTAGGAGGCATCAAAGAACACTGAAACATGCTAACCAGTAAACCTTGTCCACAGCCTAGAAACTGATTTCCCTTATGAAGGGCCCTGTTGCAAAGCTGTAGGTACTAGTTACGCCCATTTAATTAAACAGGCAATGTCATGGGCTACAGGATCCAGTCCTTTGGAAGAAAACCAAACATGCTGAGCCACATTTTCATTCTCTGTACTAGTGAAGTAAGAGTTGTTCTCAGAACATATTGAATCAGGAGTTACCTGTTGAACAAGAGCTAGGTAATTTCCTTGGTTAATTTCACATATAAATGAAGCATTCTAATTAAGAATAGATAAATGTTAGAACTCAAAGAGCTTCCTCAATTATAAAGTAGATAAAAGGTAGTATTAATTCCTATTACTTGAACAATTCAAAGAAAGTATGTTGTATAAAAATCTAACTGAAATTACTAGCAAATAGAAACAATTACCTGAAACATTTAGGCAGAAGAAAAGGAAATCTTTTCACCTAAATTTAACTGGAAAATTGCTCAGATTTTCCATTTACTGCAACTATTCAAAGCTATATTATGGGAGCTTAGTAGATGCACTAATATTGTTAAAATTCTAGGTCTGGCAGGAATTCTTCAGAACATTTAGTCCAAACATTATGAACTTAAAGCCCTATAGAGGCCATACAGATGAAATAAATGAAGGGAAATGAAGAATTCATGTCTATTCAATACAAGTACTATTCCTTGAGCTTCTTGTTGCCATATGAAAATGGGAGACTATACATTACAGTCTTCTACTTTTTCAAGAGAACCCAGAAATTCAGATTTTTGTTATGAACTCACCTTTTAAATATTGGTAACCGGTTCTTAATTTTTTAAACAATGCACAAGTCAGTTTTGACCAGCAGCCTGTCATCTAGTCTCAGCTTCTGATGTTAGAGTTTTAAACCTGAGACTGCCCTCCAGAATAAGTAACTTTCCAAGGTCACAAGATAATTACCATAAATTTAAATTCAATATTCCCATGTCTAAAAAATTTCAACCAAAATGGTTAAAGTAAAATGTGTTTGACCATATTTACTGAGTCCACAAAAATAAACATACTTCATAGCCTTTATTAAATAAGCACTTTATATGAGAGGTGAATGTGACATACTGATTAATAAATTATTATTATTTTTTAATTTAGTAACTTCACTAGTATAATTTGTGGTGGAAGGGTTGACAGGGGAGGGATGTGTCAGTAGGACATACCAGTATACAACTAATTCCATGGGTCGTTGAAAGTTTTATTATGACTTTTTATAATCATCATTCTTACTGGTTTTTATTTTCTCCTATGATGGAGCAGATTTCTAAGTAAAGTTTTTAATCAGTGTCTTTAAGAACAAATCGTACAGGGCGCCTGGGTGGCTCAGTCATTACGCCTCTGCCTTCAGCTCAGGTCATGATCCCAGGGTCCTGGGATCGAGTCCCACATCGGGCTCCCTGCTCGGCAGGAAGCCTGCTTCTCCCTCTCCCAATCCCCCTGCTTGTGTTCCTGCTCTCTCTCTCTCTCTCTCTCTGTGTCAAATAAATAAAATCTTTAAAAAAAAAAAAGAATAAATCGTACAGGGTAAGTTAATCACTTCTCTGGGCTTATTTGCCAGGTAATATCAACTCTCTAGAACCTTAGCAAAGAAATAAAGTGAAGAGGGAGTCTCTGAAAGCAAAATAATATATGTTATTAAGCCCAGTTTTCACAGACTCTTATCACAGACACCACCATCTACCTGGTCACCCAAGCTAGAAACCTGGTAAGTTATCCTCACTTTTCTATTTTCCTCTCCATGCTACATTCAATCAATCATTAAATCCAATGAATTCTATCTACAAAAGATCTGTCTAGTTTGTCCTTCCAATCATTTTAATAACCACCATCAGCTATTAGACCAAAGGTTAAAAAAGATGGCTAGGGGGCCAAACTTCATCCACAGAACATTTTGTCTGACCTGTATGGTATTTCTTTTTAATCTGAATATTTGCCAGCACTCAAAATCAAGAGATTTCACACAAAATATACAGATTTCCAACTTTTCTTGAAATATCAAAAGATCTGGCAAAACCAAGCTAAAGGTAAATAGTAGCTACATCCTTTGGAGAAAGCATACACACTCTGTTGGTTACAGTTCTCTTTACCTATGCTTCATTCATTTCATTTGAGTTTATATACCCTGATTTAGACCTTCACCATTTATTTCCTAAGCTAATGCAATAACTTCTTGACCATACCTGCCTTTGGTCTTTACCTGTTAAATCCTTATTTGATAATATTGACAGACAGACTTTATAAATGAAACTTTTTCATTTTACTCCCTGCTTAAAATTCTTCAGTAGTGCCCCATTATCTACAAGATAGAGTTCAACTTCCTATTATAACATTAGAAGCTATTCTTGATTCAATCCCTGTATAATCTTCATTATCATCCTATATTCAGTCAAACTGAATTGCTTATAGTTCACCAAAAAAATGGTCTCTCTTCCACCTAGAATGCCGATCCTTTCTTTGTCTGGCTAACTCCTCCTCTTCCTTCAAGGTAAGTATGATCTCCTCTGAGACAGTTTCCCAGGCCCCTCTTCCCCATCTACCTACCACTTCCAGTCAGTCTTCTAGGGCATCAGTAGGCTGATCAGTCTATTAGTAGCATCCTATGGCTATTACAGCACTGTATTATAACTACTGCTTTTTTTTTGCCTGTGTCCTCCAACTAGAGTAAGCTCCTTAAAGCAGCCACTGGTAAATTTCATCTTAAAAAGAAGATAAAAGTGCTTCTTCAATTATTTATATGTTAGGAGTAGATAAGAAAAGGAAATAACATTTGTAAAAGGCCTTCTGTGTAAAGCACTATAGCTAAGTCCTTGGCAATATCTCATTTACAATAAATGAGATAGGATTTAATAGGATTTACAATAAAAAATGGACAGATTTTGGAATTTTAGCTATGGCTTGGTTAAATTTTGAGATATTAGTTGCTTTTGTAGGATTCTCACAATACACCATTTTGAGATCACAGCTGTCATTCAGATATTAATAAGATGTGCTTAAGATTCATTTTAGCTCATATTATTTCCAAGTTAATTCATTTAGCATAATTTTCCCTGATATGAAAAAAAGGGAAGAAAATAGAAAAAAAAAAATGCTGAAGATCAACAAAACTTAAGGAAAGGTTAAAAAAAATCCTTCAGCGGCACCTGGGTGGCTCAGATGGTTAAGCGTCTGCCTTCAGCTTAGGTCATGATCCCAGGGTCCTGGGACCAAGCCCCACATCAGGCTCCTGACTCAGCAGGGAGTCTGCTTCTCCCTCTCCCTCTGCCTCTCCCCCTGCTCATGCTCTTGCTCTCTCTAAATCTGTGTCTCGAATGAATAAATAAAATCTTTAAAAAAAATCCTTAACAATATCCATGCAACAAAACATTCATGTAAGAGAAATCGTACAGGCAAGATTTTATGGAAAGAGAAACATTATGTAACATTTGCATAGGGAGGATTCACTCAAACATCATTTTCAACTACTCCTATATTTAGAAAAATAGATAAAATTATTGCAAAAGATTTAAAAGGTCAACTTACCCTTTTTGTAAGAATTATAATTGATGAAAATGCAGAATTCATGAAATCACAAATGTCAATTTGAAATAAATATTTCAGAATCTGATACTCAGAAGCATCTTCTGTCAATTTATAAATAAAAATAAGTTAACAATGTGATGTAACTTTTGAATCTAATTTCTTCCTTAATTGCTGCATTAGAAAACAAATAACTTTTTTTTCTTTTACCTTCTTGAGAAGACAAAAAGTAATCAGTTGAAACTGTTTCACTATTTGGGAGGGTATTTTCCACAGATCTGTCTATTTCCACCTGAGTAGATCCTTCAGTACCTAGTGATGTTTTTGATTTTTCATCATTATTTTTAGAAGATGGAGTTTTGAAATGTACTTCTTTATGAATTCTCCCGGGTGACTCTATTTTAGAAGCCATATCTGCAAATAAAATTAGAAATGTTCATTTATTTTTTAAGATTTATTTATTTTAAAGAGAGAGAAAGAGCATGCGTGTGCACTGGGGAAAGGCAGAGGGAGGGAATCTTCAAGCAGACTCCCTGCTGAGCGGGGAGTCCCACACAGGGCTCCACATGGGGCACCATGCAGGGCTCAATCCCACAATCCATGAGATCATGACCTGAGCAGAAACCAAGAGTTGGACACTCAACCAAATGAACCACCCAGGCACCCCTGGAGTTCGTTTAATACTTGCTTTGTTGTGGGCTTCCCTTTTGTTTTCTAGGCAGGCCATTCTTTGAATTTCTGTGGTCATTGTGACACGTTTTTATGGAAAGAATCCACTAAAACATAAATTGCAGCCTGCATTAGTTCCTACTGCTAATGTAATAAATTACCACACACTTAGTGACTTAAACAATACAAATATATTCTCTTAGAGTTCTGGAGATCAAAAGTCCCAAAACCAAGGTGTTGGCAAGGCTGTAGTCCTTCTGTAGGTTCTAGAGGAGAATCTATTTCCTTGCCTTTTCTGCCTTCTGGAGGCCACCTACATCCCTTAGCTCATGGCCCCTTCTTTCATTTTCAAAGATAGCACTGCAGCATCTTTTAACCTCTCCCTTACTCTGACCCTCCTTCCTTCCACCTTTAACAAACCTTGTGATTATAGTGGGCCCACTAGGATACTCTCTCCATCTGAGGCTGCTTAATTTAATCATATCTGCAGGTCCTTTTTGCCATGTCAAGTAACATAGTCACAGGGTCTGGGAATTAAGACATGAACATCTTTGAATGGTCATTATTCAGCCTACACAATGCCTTTCCTTTATTCTTTTACCAAGGAAGAATTTTTAAAGCTGTATACAATTCTATTCTCTACATTGCCTTTTTGTCCTAAAAACTATTTAAAAATACATAACTGTCAACAACTCTGTTGTGCTATATAAGCTTATGACTAAGAGCAAGACATTAAATAGCTCTCTATAGGATTTCATTCCTCTTAGAAACATTTATTACCGGGCGCCTGGGTGGCTCAGTTGGTTAAGCGACTGCCTTCGGCTCAGGTCATCATCCCGGAGTCCCTGGATCGAGTCCCTGGATCGAGTCCCTGGATCGAGTCCCGCATCGGGCTCCCTGCTCAGCAGGGAGTCTGCTTCTCCCTCTGACCTTCCCCCCTCTCATGTGCTCTCTCTCTCATTCTCTCTCTCTCAAATAAATAAATAAAAAATCTTTAAAAAAAAAAACACATTTATTACCCAAGAAAGTGTAATATTTAATTGCCATTGCAAATATATATATATATCCCTGCCATTCAAGAAAATTGGTAAGATAGATTATTCCTACTTTATCTGTTAGATAACCAGAAAGAGTCAAAATGATCAATATTATTTACAGTATCTACAGCCTACCTTTTTTTTATACAAAAGGATTTATTAAAAAACCAGTAAGACACTACAACATCATGACACTATAACAGGGCTTTTAACACAAGACTTGCTTTACAATACTGAAGGGACATAAAACACAAATTGATTCAGAAGCATAGCAATTAAATAAAACAATGAAAGCAAATTTCTTTTAATGAGAACTCAGAATCAAACTTTAGAGGGACTCAACGTGATACTTCCATTCGGGGACTTGATACAAAAAATTGTTTGAACTGCTATGAGCAGGTGGCAAGAGCCACCTTCAAATGAATCTTCAGATTGGAAAACACTGTTTCACCACATGTTGGGGATAAGTTGCAAATGGAATAATTTAGTATGATCAGTAGCTATTTTGATGATCACCTCGCCTGGATATTTTCCCATAACAACTCTGCTGGTTGCTGTAATCACCATATCCACAGTAGTTGTTGTAAGCAGTGTAATCATAGCCTACATAACCACCTATCTATTTAATAGGTAGAACAAACTGAGCCAGTTACACAAAGAAAGGCAATATTAAAACTTAGAGCAATCAATTTCCAAGGTCTGCAATCTAGTCCACTGGATCATGCATATCTACAACACATATTTGCCAGTATGTACTATTAAATATAAAAGCCATTATCACTCAAACTTTTTAAATTTTATCTATTTATTTTAGAGAGAGAGCATGCAAGCATGAGAGGGGTAGGGGCAGAGAAAGAGGGAGAAGCAGACTCCCTGTTGAGTGCGAAGCCTGACATGGGCCTCAATCCCAGGACCCTGAGATCATGATCAAGCTGAAGTCAGACGCTGAGCCCACTGAGCCACCCAGGCACTGTCTCTCTCAAACTTTAAATGAGATTGCTCCAAAGATGGAAGAACCACCCACTTCCAAAGAAACTGTATTAGCCATTTGCACAGAAAGATACCCATAGGCTTAGGGTGTTTGAAACAAATTTGAAAATGACAAGGTACCAATCAAATGTCAGGTATTGTACTTTTCCCACTCTCTTCCAGTTTTGTTAATTTCAAAGTCAATCTTTGTTTCCCCCTTCATCCCATCTCCAGTATATTATTATATAACATATTATCCAGTAGGTATATTAGAAGAAACAATGAATAAATAGAAGCTTTTTAAATCCTAAAATCAGATACATCTTTTATATCAAGCGAAAATTTTGAATGATTGAGAGCAATCTTTATTGGCTAGTAATTATAAAATGTTTTATATTTTAAAGTACATTAGTTACTAATTTATTAAAGTGTGTTGTATAAAACAAATATAGATAATGTAAGCTCAAACTATATTCTTTTTTTTTTTTTTAAGATTTTATTTGTTTATTTGACAGAGAGATAGGGAGCACAAGTAGGCAGAGTGGCAGGCAGAGGGAGAGGGAGAAGCAGGCTCTCCGCTGAGCAGGGAGCCAGACGTGGGCCTCGATCCCAGGACCCCAGGATCATGACCTGAGCTGAAGGCAGCCGCTTAACCGACTGAACCACCCAGGCGCTCCTCAAACTATATTCTTTACATCATTATTTAAGTTATTTTAGCAATTAAGCAAAGACTGACAGCATTAAAATAACATTTTGTATGTTTATGTTGGCTCAGTACGCATTGTAAGTAGAATATAAAAGTAAAAAACTTCAAGATATTCTCATTCAACTGTGAGTAAAATACATGCTTCCATGAGTATACACAGGTATATGCTTATTTTCTCTTTCAGACCCAATAACAGCATAAAGTTGTGCTGAGAAATCAAATTAAAATCAATAGTAAACTATATTTTGGATTTCATTCCTATGCTATGAATGTGTCTGGCAAAGGCAAAATTATACATGTTTCCTTAATTTGATGATCTCATGAAATTCACATAATTCTTCAGTGAGTGCCATAAATTTCTGAGAAGGAACTCCAGATTTTATAAATCTTATCACTGCTTTTTTTACAGAAGTCATAAATCTATAGTGGCAGAGAAAAACTTTATATTATCCAATTGATAATATGATCATTAGGGAAAATATAAGGTTTATTTTGCATTTCAGTGTAACAAGGCTGATAGAGATTTAAATAAAATATTCCTGATTTTTCTGATTTTTTGCTACATATTAAATATTTAAATGATTTATACCTTTAAATGATAAATACCTGAGTTCAAATTTAGAATGAAAATATATATGCACATCTTTTGAGAACCTTCATTTAAAAAGGATTATCCATGGGGCACGTGGGTGGCTCAGTAGTTAAGCATCTGCCTTCGGCTCAGGTCATGATCCCAGGGTCCTGGGTTCAAGTCCCGCATAGGGCTCCCTGCTCAGCAGGAAGTCTGCTTCTCCCTTTCCCACTCCCCCCTGCTTGTGCTCCCTCTCTCACTGTGTCTCTCACTGTCAAATAAATAAATAAAATCTTTTAAAAAATAAATAAATAAAATAAAAAGGATTATCCGGGGCATCTGATTTAGGCTCAGATCGTGATCTGGGGATCCTGGGACCCAGCCCCAAGTTGGACTCTCTACTTAGTGGGTTGTTTGCTCCGCCCTCTCTCTCTGCCCCTCTCCCCCGCTTGTGTTCTCTCTCTCTCTCAGATAAATAAATAAAATCCTAAAAAATAATAATAAAATAAACAAAAATAAAAAGGATTATCCTTCCCCAAAATTAATTGAAAAATTTTAATTTGAACCATGTCAAAATTTCCCACATTTGTATTATTGTATCATATATTCATGTGCATACCATATCAAATAGCCATTTATTTTAAGACAATTCAATTTTCAAACATAGTTTAAACTGATCATTTGATTGAATTAACTAATCAGAGTTAAAGGGGAAAAAAAAAGTTTTAACCAGTCCTAGCCTGAAGTATAGTATTCAGGTAAACTGGGATTTACTTCTCAGTTACTTTTTAAGATAAGGATAGGAAAGTATCAGTGCAGTTCTGAAGAGCAGGATTAACAATTAGTAAGAGAATTATTCAGTGTCTAATTTTGCACTTTCAATTACAAATTTAACATAGCACTTTGATGCTGTCATTTATTTGGCATTGTTCAAAAGATGAAAGTCCCAAGTAAGCACACATATCAGTAATTTAATAATGCCCCCTGTGGACATCAAAGCTAAAAATGAGCATTAGGGGGCCTGGGTGGCTCAGATGGTTAAGCGTCTGCCTTCAGCTCAGGTCATGATCTCAGGGTCCTGGGATCAAGCCCCATGTTGGGCTCCCTGCTCAGAGGGGAGCTTGCTTCTTCCTCCCCCTCTGTCCCTTCTTCCCAACTCGTGCTCTCTCTGTCTCTCTCTCTTTCACAAATAAATAAAATCCTTGATAAAATATCGTTTTAACTGCATTTAAAATAAATACATATGTTAAGAAAAATTAATACTTCCTATAGTATTTTTATATTTAATTAATTAAATTAATTTCAGGGTATTATTTTCACATGACTTAAACCTAAGCTTTAAGATTTACCTTAGATACAGACATGCCTTTTTTTTTTTAAGATTTTATTTATTTATTTGAGAGAGAGAATGAGAGAGAGAGAGCATGAGAGGGGGGAGGATCAGAGGGAGAAGCAGACTCCCTGCTGAGCAGGGAGCCCGATGTGGAACTCGATCCCGGGACTCCAGGATCATGACCTGAGCCGAAGGCAGTCGCTTAACCAACTGAGCCACCCAGGCACCTCAGATATGCCTTTCTTACAATTGTTTATAAACAGAATTTTAAGTCAAATAAAATAATGAGGAACTTTTCATATTTAACTGTACTTGGGAAACTCATTATTTAAATAAGTTCAATTGGAGTCCTTTTGTAAAATAGTTACTAATATTGTAATAAAAATAATTGTTCCCTAATTTATCTGTTTTGTAAATACCTATATCAGTATATTAGTTTTTCTGTAAATCTGGTTATCTTGGGTCTCAGCCTTTCATAAATATGATTTAAGATCAGTAATTCATTTTTTTATGCACTCTTTCTGATTAAGGCAAATTTTCATTTGCTATTTCCTAAAAGATTTGCTGAAATTATCTGAAAATTTTGGCTGTTGTAGCTATTTCTCCAATAGCCAAAAAAATAGGGCCTGTGGCTTTATCTGAATTTCTTTTAGTATTTCTTTTTAAAAACAAATTTTACATGACCCCAGGTCATTTTCCATTTAATTAATATCATAATATTTGGGAATACTATACTTTGTATAGAATGACATATCGTTTTTAGAAACAGAGTAATTTCTGAATATTTTCATGAAAGTCCCTCAAAACTAGTTATAATTGCATAAATGCCCTATTCTCATTTGACTGTTCTTGAAATTTCCATATTTAGAAATTCTCTTAGCATTACTATATGAAATAATAAATAAATTCTACGTAAGTGATATTCAGGCTGTCCTTGAGTTTCTATACATGCTCTAAATATTTTCATATGTCTGTATTTTGAAACTTCTCTATTTCTGGGCCTGATACTGTTTTGCTTTATTTATTTATTTATTTTTATTTTTTTAAAAGATTATTTATTTATTTGAGAGAGAGAGAGAGAGAGAGCATGAGAGGGGGGAGGGTCAGAGGGAGAAGCAGACTCCCTGCCGCAGGGAGCCCGATGTGGGACTCGATCCCGGGACTCCAGGATCCTGACCTGAGCTGAAGGCAGTCGCTTAACCAACTGAGCGACCCAGGCGCCCTGTTTTGCTTTATTTTAGTCTCACTTATTCTTCCCAATTACTCTTATCTGCTTTTTCATAAATATTCCTTTAGGATCTAACAAGTGTAGAACAAAATAATTTCCTCTTTGCCTTTGGCAATCTAGGTCTTTAATATTTTTAGTCATTAAAAAGCATTACACCTACACCTTTCTCATTTAGAAAAGGGGCAGAATCTAAGTATACATTCTGGTTAAGGATATTAATTAAGTAAAGAGTTCACTTTTGGAGCATATTAAGAAATGACATATAGTTCTTCTGGAAATTCAAGAAAATCAACCATTTCTGATGGAAATAAATGTGTTTTCATCTGAGTTTGCAACACTGTTGATCTCTTCTTGTGAAAGGCTATCTGTTATTCTAGGGTTCAATCATTCCTGTATTATTGGGCAATATTTGCAGAGTTCCTAATCTGTCCATCAGAGAGACATCAGAATGGAGATGTGGGAAAGTCATGTTATATAATTCTTTACTTAAAATAGAATCCATGGGAGCCTGGGTGGCTCAGTTGGTTAAGTGACTGCTTCAGCTCAGGTCATGATCCTGGAGTCCCTGGATCGAGTCCCGTATCGGGCTCCCTGCTTGGCAGGGAGTCTGCTTCTCCCTCTGACCCTCCCCCCTCTCATGTGCTCTCTCTCATTCTCTCTCTCTCAAATAAATAAAATCTTAAAAAAAAAATAGAATCCACAGGTTTTTAATCATAGGAATTACTAGATACCTAGACATCTAGATCTAGAAGTATCCTCTGAGACTCTGCCCTCTTCCATTGCCTACTCTTGAGCTCCCAGAATTGAGAGAAAACCATTCAAATATAGTTATACTGGGAAGGTGTTAATGAGCTAAAAAGTTAATGTAAATGAGCAGAAAGAAATCCTCATTTACCAAAATATAAAGTCAATGGACATCATCTAATATAAATCAAAGCAGAACAATATAAAGAAATATTTAGAAAATAGAGATAAATACTAAAAGAAATTTGCTTCAAAAAAAAAAAAAAAGAAAAGAAAGAAAGAAATTACTGTCCCTGGAAGAAAGGTTAGAGTAGAGATGGACACAGGGAACAGAAATTGCTTTTGTTTAAAAAGAAAAATAGCCTTGGGGCACCTGGGTGGCTCAGTTGTTTGAGCATCTGCCTTTGGCTCAGGTCATGATCCCAGGGTCCTGGGATGGAGCCCCGCATCAGGCTCCCTGCTCAGCAGGAAGCCTGCTTCTCCCTCTCCCATTCCCCCTGCTTTGTTCCCTCTCTCACTGTGTCTCTCTGTGTCAAATAAATAAATAAATAAAATCCTTAAAAAAAAAAAGAAAAAAATAGCCTTAGTACTATTTATATTTTTAAACCTGTTAACATATACTACTTCAATATAAATAAAAATATATTGTAAGCTACCTTAAGATCTTCTTGGAACAGCTATGTATCTCCATTCTTTCTTCCGTAGTATTTTATTTTATAATATTAAGATCTAAGTCCCAGAGTAAACCAGAAATTAATAAAAGGGTAGTTGATAAGGTTGTTGTTAATTATTGAGTATACTGAGAAACATGGATTTCTGGACTTTTTTATCCGATTTGTACTGATAAAAATAAATTATGTTTAAAAAAGTAAATTATATTAGGGGCGCTTGGGTAGCTCAGTCGGTTAAGTGTCTGCCTTCCGCTCAGGTCATGATCCCAGGGTCCTGAGCTCCCTGATCAGCAGAGAGCCTGCTTCTCCCTCTCCCTCTGCTGCTCCCCTGCTTGTGCACTCTCCCTCTCTCTCTGTCAAATAAATAAATTAAATAAATAAATAAATAAAATTATAGATATTTTATACAAACCTGATGGACTGGATCTGCTTTTCAGCATCATAACTTCCATATTATCTGTGTGATAATTTTCAGCTGAAAATTCTTCTGTTTCATCATTTTCAATTACATTATTTTCATCCTGTATCTGTTTGGAAAATTGCAATTCTGTTTCCTTTGGAATGTCCTGGAAGTTCCAATTATATAAAAACTTTTTAAAATATGGTAAGGTATCAGAATCATCTGTTTTCTCTAGGGCTCTTTCCTTTCCTACTTGCTCTTCAGCTTCCATAATTTCTATTGTTTTTATTTCTTGTTCCTTATCAGGGTCAAATTTACTTGTTGGAAGACGTTCATGTTTATCTCCTCCACTTCCTTCTTCACTTTTTCCATCATCTGATATAATTTTATCTTCATTGTTATATACAAAGCCTAGCATACCAAAACCAAAATCAAACCAACTTGGCTTGAGAATTGAGGTATCATTGACGATTGTGTCTTCTTTTTCTGTTAATATTTCTGTGCATGGAACTGTGGGTTCTTCCTCAGATGATAAGGAATTAGGAACATCTTGTAGTGGTGGATCGCTTTCTTTGGACAATAATTCAAGCCCTGTATACTCACCTCCAAAACCTAAATAACTTTTAAAACCACCCCCAAACCAACTAGTGGCTTCAGGACTGATAATGTTCTCTGACTCAGAACCTAGTTCAGACTGTTTCTTTGGCACTGAATTGAATTCCAATTCAGGTTCTTGCTTTTGTTCTGTTTGGGGTTCATCATTATTTAATTCCTCTAGGTCATTCTCCTCTTCTCCTGCTATTTTTCTACTTTGAAATGAACTTTCTTGTAGAGGTTCAATAACTGATTCAAAAGCCTTTCCTTCAGCTAGTTCCCTTCCAAATCCAAACCATCCTGTCACTTCAGGCGAGGATGGTGGGATGTGATCCACTTCTGGAACATAATCCTCTTCCATACTTCCAGCTTCCACTGCTTCCCAGTCTTTTGATTCACTAGTACTTCTGACATCTTCAGAAGCTTCCGATACTGGAAACCGATCTTCAAACAAAGTACTTTCAGAAGTTGAATAAAATCCAGATTCTGTCTGAAAGTCACTTTCATATACACTAGATTTTTGGTCTTTATCTTCTTCATATGGACATATATTTTTGCCATCATCATTGTTTAATTCACTGTCTTCATTTTCAAATGTGTAACTTACTCCAAGAAGACAAAGAAAATCAGATTCCTACAAGAGAAAAATTGATTGACATAAATATACTAAAATTCCTTGTTTCTCCCTAAATCACTTAAAATAGATGACTATGCAGCACAACAAAAACTAAAATCAGATCTCCTAATCTCAAACATTTATATCACAACTGACTCAGGGTCAATGATATAAATCTAAATGAAAAATCAAGGCTTTGACTATATTCTGGAAATAAACTCTTGATGAAAAGGCATACAGGTCCACAAAATCTTGCTTCTTTTAAGAGTACACTAACCAGACACATGCAGCTGTGTGGTGATTTGAGAGAGGGGAGTTTCACAGCACATGGTGACCGCTCAGACAGCCCAGAGATTCTAAAGCATGAAGGCCTTGTTAAAAGTTGCCTGGGTGGCTCAGTCGTTGGGCGGCTGCCTTTGGCTCAGGTCATGATCTCGGGGTCCTGGGATTGAGCCCCGCATCGGCCCCGCATCTGGCTCCCTGCTCATCGGGAAGCCTGCTTCTCCCTCTCCCACTCCCCCTGCTTGTGTTCCCTCCCTCGCTGTGTCTATCTCTGTCAAATAAATAAAATCTTTTAAAAAAAAAAGTTGCACTACAACATTTAGACTTCTTTTATTGAACACTGTATATGGCCAATTGTGGTGGGGAATCCTCTTGTTCATCTCATAGAACAACCAGATCATCAAGAAGAAAAATGGTGAAGTTAATATTTTTTTAAATTTTATTTTCAGTAGGCTTCACACCCAATGTAGGGCTTGAACTCACGACCTGGAGATCAAGAGTTGCATGCTCTACCAACTGAGCCAGCCAGGTGCCCCAAACTTATTATTTTTTAATCTGAAAGTATGAAACAGTGAGATGTGCTGCTCTTTGGATATGATCATTATGAAATGAGAATAAAGTTCAGAATTTTTAAAAAGTAAACCTCAAAACTGAAATTTTACAATGTTTTAGGCACTGCAGTATAGTATGTGATTGGGAACAGACTCTGGAGCCAACTGTCTGCGTTTAAATCCTGACCCTGCCATTTACTAGCTCTGTGAACTTGGGTGAATTATATGACCTTTCTATGCCTCAATCTCCTCATCCATAAAATGAGGATAATGACAGTACCTATCTTATAGGGGTGTTGTGTTGTGAGGATTAAATGAATGAAGTGCTTAGAATAGTAACTGTCTGTAGTAAACACTAGCCTAACCTGGCCCAAGTTACACTACCCTAGATGAGCCAGTAATGTAAGGGTAAAAAGACCCAACACCTTGTCTCTATTCAAGGCAACTCTGAAAGGCCATCCCAGGTTCAGAGTTCCTTATGGAATCAACTGAGACCTTTGTTGCAACTGCATCACAGTTCAACTTCTCTGTGCAATCCTGCTTTTTCTTTTGGTCTCTCACAAGTGTTATTCCTAAGAGTATTACACCCCAGTAAACTTCTTGGGTGTAAAGGTCTACCTCAGAGTCTATTTCCCAGGGAACTTGACCTAAGAATGTAGGGCTTCTGTATGCTTACTATATGCTATACACTGTGCTAGGTGCTGAAATTCTACAGTCAACAAAAGGAAAAAAGTTATTATGAATTGTGGTAAGTGCTATGGAGGAAATAAAGAGGAATCTGTGATTAAGATGCAGTAGTTCCACGAAGATCATCATGGAAGGCTTTTCTGAGGCACTTATGTTTACATGGCGATGTAAAGAATAAGAAGGAACTAGCTAAGTGAAGAACCTGGGGAAAGCATTTGAACCAGAAGGAGCAGCCTGTTTAGGTCTCTGGGCTAGGAAAGTGTTTGGCATGTTCAAGAGATGATGAGACCTTGGATTAGTGGTATAGAGAGAGTGAAAATGACAAGAAGACAATATAGTCCATATATATTTTGGAGATAAAACTGACAGGACCAGCAATTATACATTAAATTGACTGTTAATCCCAGAATTTATGATGGGAAAGAGCCAGATAATAGTTTTCTTGACTAGGCTAACTCACTTCACATTGACCTTATTTAAGGTAAGTTGCCTTTACCTGGAATCTGAATTAAATGGGCTAATCAAATTTACATATTGAAAAGTCACTTTCTGATTCCTTTTCTCATTATCAAGCCCAACATTATCAAACCCAACATTATCAAGTTCATTTAAAACTCAACAGAAAAAAGAAATTGTACAGTTATGAGACCTAGAGAGAGTGATGAGAAATAAATTTTGTCCCAATGGGATAATAACATTAGTAATAATATCTAATACTTATATAGCACTTACTAAGTGCTGTTCTATATACTTTACATATGTTCATCTTTCCCCAATAAGTTTAAAAAGTAGCACTATATTATAATCATCATTCTCATTTTACAGATTAGAAAATTAAGGCATACAAGGCCACAGTCAGGCTTTGAACTCAGTCCAGAATCCATGATGCTCTTAACCACTTCACTCTACTACCTGTCTGTAAATTTTTCAGAAAGCAGTATGCCTGTCATCAATTCTGTCTTACCTAATTTTATTCACATACTCAAACTATTCCTAGAGTGAGTTCTCAGACCAACTATTTTATGTATTCACTATACAAGATACTTAACCAATGGACACTTATACTACAGAAAACTGCTTTAGCCAAGAAATTTTAAATTCAATTAACAACAGAAATGTTATTAATACTCACTTTAGTTGATATCTGAACTTCCTCAGATATGAACACCTCTTCAATCTGGACTGCATCTCTGGGAAAATATCCAAAGTCCTTTCCTTTCTGCCAAAATGAAGAATAAAGATTAGCAAGGAAGAGTGATCAAAGCTATAATAACCATTGAGCCTAATTTTGCCCCCATGTCCTTGGCTTTCATCTATCCCAAATCACAAACATTAATTGGCTTTCACTTGCCATCTAAAAGAAAGTGAGTGAAATCATATTCCTTTTTTTTAAGATCTTATTTTTAAGTAATCTCTACACCCAGTGTGGGGCTCAAACTTAGAACCCCCAAGATCAAGAGTCACACATTCTACCAACTAAGCCGGCAAGATACCCCTATTATTCAAAAGAATAGTATTAATTTGAGGGAACAAAGAGCCAAGTTGTAAAAGGCCACTTTTTCAATCTTCTGAGGGAAAACCACCCCACACACCGATTTTCTTCCTTTTTATGTTTGTCAATGACCTTCCTTACCGAGATGGACCCCAGACTTATACTGTCAACCTGGAATATCAAAAGGCAAAGGAATGGTGACAGTAGCCATCTAGACGGAGCTGTGACATGTTCAACATTTTCAGGATGTCAAAATCAAGTAAGAGGTTTAAACTCTGAAGGGCAAGATGGATTCATCAGAACAGCAAAGATCTATGAGTCCTCCTGGGAGCATTTGGTTCCCTTCAACTTTTCTGGGGCTACCTTGGTAATAGGGATCTTCTTAATCCAGTTTAAGTACATAGAAGATGTCCTCCAAGAGTGAAGCTTTCACCACTCTCAGCCCATTTCCTATCCCTGGCAAAGTTTAAAGACCGTCTTTTGGTCCTTTGATCTAGCACCATTACACCTCAACTGTGATTCTTCCAGCTCTGTAGTTGCTGCAGCTACTTGGAAACTGATAGTCTGTGAGTGAACTCTGCAGTCTGCAGTATGGTTTCTTAAACAGCTGCCTGCCTGGATTAAAACACCTAATGCAAGGAACTCACTATGCTTGAAACTTCACCCTGCCTTCACACAGTACACGCTGCTTTTGCGTGGAACTATCATTTTCACACATAGAAAACAAGAAAGAATGCTTTCCTTTCCTCTTACGATCCCTACCGTGTCACTTTTCTTACAGCTGCATTGGTTGCCTCTAATTTGTTCAAAGACATCCACTGGCATGTGTAAGAGACCATAAGCAGTAAGGAATCTTGGGAACTGCAAAAGCCAAATAATTCTGGCCACTGACAGTCAGGGGTTCAGTCATACAGCCCCTAATGCTAAAAAGCAGGATCCAAACAGAACCTGTTCCTTCGAATAGTGATCACAGGGATTACACAACAGAAAAATCTGTTGCATGTTCAATATGGAAATGATGTATGCATCAGGTTGGTCACGCTTGTTCAGCTTGGAAGTAAAATTGCTTACAGCATCTTTTCATTATAAAGCATAACGATACCATCAAAGATACAAATGTGTTTCCAGTTGAAAACATTAATCATTAATTTTCCTGTTATATATTTAGAGAGATTACTCAGGCTTCTAGGAATTTCAGTGTAATAGGACTCTGGGCCAAATAAAAGGCTCTCCCAATTGTTGTCATTGTTGTTTTTCATGAAAAATTCATATACCTTGATTCTCTAGGCTACTCATCTCTCTGGATCTCTTCAATAAGAACTCCATCCTTGGGGCGCCTGGTGGCTCAGTCGGTTAAGCATCTGCCTTTGGCTCAGGTCATGATCTCGGGGTCCTGGGATCGAACCCCACATCAGGCTCCCTGCTCCGCAGAGAGTCTGTTTCTCTCTCTCCCTCTGCACTCTCCCCCAACCCCACCTGTGCTCTCTCTCTCTCTTTCAAATAAATAAAATCTTAAAAAAACCTAGCCATCCTTTATTTGCTCAGAAAGACATGTCTTTTAATCTGATTAACTAAAACTTCCCAGTCTCTCTTAAACTAAGCCATTGACAGCACCATGGGATCACTGGTGTTGCCTAGACATCCCATAATCTCCACCTCTAAATTTTATTCTCCAAGTAAATATAAAACTTAACTTCAAAAACTATGCATGCTATGTAAAAATAATTTCAAGGCACTCTTAGTTCTCTATCCCAACCAGAATGTCTTCTGAAAATATTACTTTTATAGAAATTCTGGAACCGGGGTGCCTGGGTGGCTCAGTCGTTAAGCATCTGCCTTTGGCTCATGTCATGATCCCAGGGTCCTGGGATCAAGCCCCGCATCGGGCTCCCTGCTCAGCGGGAGGCCTGCTTCTCCCTCTCCCATTCCCCCTGCTTGTGTTCCCTGAACCAAGACTGAACATGACCATTTTTTATTTGTTTAAATATGTTAAGGGTGGGGTGCATGGGTGGCTCAGTTGGTTAAGCATCTGACTCTTGATTTTGGCCCAGGTCCTGATCTCAGGGTCATGAGGTCAAACCCCATGTGGGGCTCCACACTCACCGGGGAATCTACTTGAGGTTCTTTCCCTCTGCCCCTCCCCCAACTCATGCACATGCTCTCTCTATCTCTCTCATTCTCTCGAACAAATAAATATTTTTTTAAAAATATGTTAAGGGTTTTAAATATATATATTACATATATACTATATATGTAAAGTGCTTTAAAATTATTAAAGTTCCTTTAGAAATGAAAACCAGGTATTCTGTACAAGCTAGTCATTTATTCTACATTCAGGTTTTTTTTTTTTTTACATTCAGTTTTTAAAACTAGATACTTACACTTCCTGCCCACAAATCTTCCCTTTCTCCTGCAAGTTTAACATAAACAGATATCTCTTCTCCCTTAGTGAAGTTCAGGTATCGGCAGTCAGGTCCTTTGTAATCTCTCACAGCTAAGACTCTGCTTATTAAAGCTATGTAAACGTGAGAAAAACACACAATTTAAATTAAAATGTTATTTCTCCCCCTCCCATCTTGCCCTCCTCCAGTCTACCCTATGTATTTCCAAATGCTAATTTCTTCATATTATTTATCACCTCAAAAACCTACATAGACTTCCCACTGCACACAGAATCAATTCTAAGTTCTTTGGCTTGGTATCCAAGGCTATTCATAACCTGATCCTCTTCCTTATTTAAAATGATTTCCTCTTATTCCTTTACAGTCAAGTTCATCTATCCATTGTCCCTGGAATATGTCATTATCATTCTTGTCAGGAAGGAAAGGTGAAGATAATTTGTTTTCTTCCTAGCACCTACTACAGTAGTCCCCCTTATCTGTGGGGGATATGATCCAAGACCCCTAGTGGGTGTCTGAAACCACAGAGAGTACTGAACCCTATATACACTATGTTTTTTGCCTATGTATACATACATATAATAAAGTTTAATTTATAAATTAGGCACAGTAAGAGTCAACAACAATAATAGTAAAATTGAACAATTATAACAATGTATTGTAATAAAAGTTATGTGACCAATCTCTCTTTCTCAAAATATCTTATTCTTCTTACAATGACGTAAGATGATAAAATGCCTCCCTAATGAGCTGAAGTGAGGTACACAAGGTAAGCACTGTGACATAGAGTTGGGCTACTATTGACCTTCTGACTGCATGTCAGAAGAGGGATCATCTGCTTTTGGACCATGGTTGACCCCAGGTAACTAGAACCATGGAAAGTGACCCATGGGTAATGGGGACTTCTGTATATTCCAGGCATTATGATAACTCTTTCATATCTTTATTTTATTAAATCCCCAAACAGACCTATAAGGTCAAAAATCTTATAACAGTCTAACAAATGAGCCTTTAACTAAGTCTTAGAGAGTTGGTCACACACCTGATAAATGGTGGAGCCAGATTTTCACTGAGATTATTTTTACTGCAATATCTGCCTTCCATATTCTGAGATTTTTCTTTCTGTTCTTTCCTAAGCCTAGAAACCCTTCAGTCTCTCTTTGTGATGAGCTCATATCCTACTTCTTCTGTGAGACATCCCAAATTGGTCCAGCCTATTCTGCCCCTTTTCTGAACTTCAATATTATCTATTATCCTTATGTTGTATTGCTATTTACTTTTTCATGTTGACCTAATTCCTGGAGGTCAAGAAACTTAACTGACATTTCATTTTGTTCCTCTTAAATCACACTCCTACCCCTCCAGACTCAGCACATAATAGGCCCTCAATAACTATGATCAGAACTAGATACACTAAATTTAACCCTTCAATACATAAAGTAATATACATACCATATTACCTATTACAATTATACTAACATGTAAAACATTTTGATTAAGTCATATGATTAAAGTTAAAATAACATTATAAATTACTATAAATTTGAAAGTTCCCTTTCCATGTTTCATGTCTGGCCCTAAGGAAACTAAAATGAAGTTGTAAAGAGGGAAAGAAAAATTATTACTATTATAAAACATCATCTAGTAAATCTCTATATATCAAATTACATATCCAAATGATTAAGGAAAATGTTTACTCAAAAAAATTTACTTATAAATTATTACTTTCCCACTAATAATATTTTGCATTTTTAATTTACATGTTGCAAATCAGAAATAATTCTCACATACTGAAGAGACAGAACATATCTGAAACAGATGTAATATATTGTGATACTATTCATCTTGCACCATAATGCTAATAACAGAAAATACTTCTTAAGCAATAAAATGAAAATTAGTTTTTCTTTGTAGAAGATAGGAGAAAGTTAATATTCAAGTATATAAATAAAATTATGTACTCTTAACACTGATTTCATTATTTTTACATGATAAATGAACATGGAAATGATTAATGTTTGATAAAGCTTAAACGATAAATCATGGTGATAAGAAATAAACGCATTTTTAGAAAACTTGTGAGAATCAGAAAGTTCTGATTGAGAAATAGAAACTAAAAAATAGGGGCGCCTGGGTGGCTCAGTCGTTAAGCGTCTGCCTTCGGATCAGGTCACGATCCCAGTGTCCTGGGATTGAGTCCCGCATCGGGCTCCCTGCCCTGCTGGAAGCCTGCTTCTCTCTCTCCCACTCCCCCTGCTTGTGTTCCTGCTCTCGCTGTGTCTCTCTCTCTGTCAAATAAATAAATAAAACCTTAAAAAAAAAAAAAAGAAACTAAAAAATGTAAGAGCTTCATAAATAAAGAACTATCAAATGGCTTGAAATCTTTTTAATACAAATCAATACAAATCAATTTAGCTACCTTAAAAAACAGTAAAAGTGCTGATTTGTTTTTGAGGCCTGGATTAATACCTTCATCATTTCTGATATATTTATATATCAGGCTGATCTTTGCCCCTTGATACACTTACATTAAAAATTATTACAATATGCTTTGCTTCTAGCACTTTCTTTTTATAGGTAAGTGTATTTTATAATGGCAAATATTTCTCAATGACATCACTGCTCACTTCTATCCTACATGTACAAATAACATGTCATTTCAGAACCTTAGTTTAAGAGGAAAAGAAGGAAGAAAAGAAAAACAAACTTACTTTCACACTCCAAGTCACCACATTTTTTAAAATCTGCCAGCAGTTTTGTGCCCTCCAGACACTTTATCAGAGAAATTACCAAAAGGAAGATTCTGTGAACTCCAAGCTCCGCCATGCTAAAACAAGCAGGAATCCCAAACAAGGTTTAAGCCAATTGTTTAGGCCGTATATATGTCAGCCAAAACAAGAGATATCCCACTCTCTCCACTAAATTTAAGAGAAAAGGTTTGTTTTTCTGAATCCCTTGACAATTACATTTTTCAACTGGTGTTTAGGCTTAACTTGAGGGACAAGTGCTCTCTGTTTGCAATCTGCAGTGTCAGGTATCCAGATAATACATAAGGGTTTAATAATTAACAGAGATTTTTAGTTGGACTCATGGCTTATAAAGTTGACCCATGTAAAACAGTCTCACTTAAAGGTACCTTGCACTCAACAGAACAGTTCTTAAACAGGCCTCTACAAAAAGGTAGCTCATCTCTTTATGTTAAAGTCTTTAAATCAGTCAATAAATACAGGGTATTTGCTGCATGCAAATAACAGTATCAATGGAGAAAGTATATAGTTATATGTAGAAGCAGTAATAACTTATATTAAAACCATGGCTTTGAAATATGATGAAAGTTATTTTTAAAAAATCCCACTTTCATATTTCAAAAACCTTCAGTGTTACTATGAAACTGAAACTTGTATTTAGTTAAGAATAATAGTTCAAAGTGGTAAGTACTTCTTATGTTCCAGGTATTGTCTTAAACAATTATGTGATTTAACTCTCACATCAACTGTCTAAGGTAGGTAATATTTTGCTTATGAGGAAACTGAGGTACTATTAAGCTAGCTAGATATTACCTAATGTTATTGCTGCTTAAAGGGGATCAAAGCCCTATATTGGGACTTTCTATGTAAAACACTAGATCTCGGTAGATTTGGGGAAACCAGAGTTGTCTTATTTCAACCTTGAGAAAGTATCTTTCTAACTCCTTCTTTGCTGTACCCCTTCCCTATATTTGGGCATGCCACCAAGTGCATGGCTTCCAGAATACAGCAGTTGTATGACACCACACTCCCCTCTGGTTGTCTGACATAACAAAGCAAATATCCAGCACCTGAGCAAGCTAAAGTGAAGGACTTTTGCTTTCAGGATCCTAAAAACAACAACAACAACAACAAAAAGAAAACAGTGTGTTTGTTTTCCAAAAACAATAGTAAGAAGCCCCCCCTCAGATCAAAGATTTTTACATCTTTAGAAAGAATCTGATAGAACATGAATTTGAGGATCATTTGGCTGGCAATCAGATCACTGTACAGTTGTTCACATGCACACTCAAAAAGCTTTAGATTAGTTTCTTGGGGCGCCTGGGTGGCTCAGTCGGTTAAGCGTCTGCCTTCGGCTTGGGTCATGGCCCCAGGGTCCTGGGATCGAGCCCCACATGGGGCTCCCTGCTCAGCTGGGAGCCTGCTTCTCCCTCTCCTTCTGCCTCTCCGCAATGCTTGTGCTCTCTCTCTCTCTCAAATAAATAAATAAAATCGTAAAAAAAAAAAAAAGATTAGTTTCTTGAACACTTTTACAAGTCTATAAGCTATGTTGTCAAAGACATTTAAAGGATTAACTCTTCAGCTTCAAAATTTGGTGCACAATTATTTGCATAATCTATAATATCAAATCAAGAATATTTAATAATTAATGTTCTTTTTCCTTTTTTGTATTCAATATTAAAGACATTACAGTTAAATTCTGAACTAATTATTTGAATTTTGTTTTTTTTTTTTTTAAAGATTTTATTTATTTATTTGAGAGAGAGAGAGAGCATGAGAGAGGGGAGGTCAGAGGGAGAAGCAGACTCCCCGCCGAGCAGGGAGCCCGACGCGGGACTCGATCCCGGGACTCCAGGATCATGACCTGAGCCGAAGGCAGTCACCCAACCAACTGAGCCACCCAGGTGCCCGAATTTTGTTTTTTTTTTTAAGATTTCTTTTTTTAAGCAATCTCTACACCTAACGTGGGACTCAAACTCACAACCCCAACATCAAGACTCGCATGCTCTACCAACTGAGGCAGCCAGGTGCCCCAATTTTGTTTTAAGTTAAGAACACAGCTAAATTTAAATTTGTCTATTCATTGGACTTAAGGAAATTTGAGTCAAGAAAAATAGGAGAGGGCCCTTGGGTGGCTCAGTCGGTTAATCGTCTGTCTGCATTCGACCCAGGTCATGGTCCTGGGGTCCTGGAATCAAGTCCTGCATCAGGCTCCCTGCTCAGTGGGGAAGTCTGCTTCTCCCTCTGCGCCACTCCCCACTTGTGTGATCGCTCTCTCTCTCCCTCTCTCTCACAAAAATAAATAAATAAAACCTAAATTAAAGAAAAAAAAGAAAAACAGGAGAAAAATTTTTGCCTAAGATACCAGCCTGGAGATTTTCTTCTACTAGAAATGTTCCCACTTTCTTGTTACTTAATGCACTCAGATTATTTCACTTTATTTTCAGATCATCACTTAAATATAATTTAACAAGATATCTGAAGTGTGATAGTATAATGTTAACCTTCTCTAATAGACCCAGGTGAAGAGGTGGTATGTGAAAGGGGTAAGAGCATTTGGTTTAAAGAAATCAAAGCATCAATTTCACTATAAAGACAGCCCTATTAAGCTAATTAGATATTATCTAATTGCTGATGCATTTTGCAGGTCAACTGTTGTGTCAATATTAAAATATACTGCTGCTGAGGAAGATTTAATGGTAACAGTCAGGAATACTGATTTGGAAGAACTATGGCATTCTTCAGAAACTGTATATACAAGAAGTAAGAGTACTTCCTGCATAAAGCTAAAGAATGAATCATCAAAACCACACATGTTCAGTATCTTAGAGATAATGTCACAGAGCAACCCTTTCCATGACAATATGAAGACATAATCATCAATGCTATACTTCTACTGCTTGATAGTATTATTTCTGATACTATATAGTACTATCTTGTCTCTTAGTACATCAGATTTCCTAAAGTAGGAACACATTTCTTTCACCTAGCTACCTGTCACTCTGGAAATTTATTAGATAGAGAAATTTGATCAGAAGTACATGGGAGAAGCTGAACTAATTAAGCTGGGGTGGTTTTTACTAGGGAAGGGAACTAGAACAAAGCCTTTGAAAACAGTTCCCATGGTAGACAGTGAGAGATAAGGCCCAAGAACGATTAAGATTCAAACTGGTGTGGAAGACATAGAGATGGCCCCCCATATTCCCTCTTTAAGGTAAGACCTTCTGTTCAGCTGCAGGGAGTACAGGTGGCAGGTTAGCCTCTGGCAGACACCCCTCCCTGTGTGATCTAGTGGATCAATGACAAGGGAGTACAAAGGTGGGGTCATTTGAACCTTCTGTGGGACACTGGCAGGCATTCCTCACTCCAGAGCTCCCTATTGGGTTTACTGAAGCTTTGTAGATCCTGCACTGTGGTTTGACTTTGCCCTTTGCCTAATCCTGCTTTCTCCCTCTTCTTTTCACAAGTGGTGATCCCTTGAACCCCAAAATCTTCTCATCATCTACTTCTGGAGGACCCAACCTCAGACACTAGTGATCCAAAGACACTAAACAGGGAGATGGCAGAACACACACATTGTTTTGTGTGTGTCACTCCATGGCTCCTTTTACCTTTGTTGCTTTTGTGCTGCTGAAGGCCATGTTTTAGGGGCGCCTGGGTGGCTCAGTCGTTGGGTGTCTGCCTTCGGCTCGGGTCATGATCCCAGGGTCCTGGGATCGAGCCCCGCATCGGGCTCCCTGCTCCGTGGGAAGCCTGCTTCTGCCTCTCACACTCCCCTTGCTTGTGTTCCCTCTCTCGCTGTCTCTCTCTCTGTCAAATAAATAAATAAAATCTTTAAAAAAAAAATCTGAAGGCATGTTTTAATTCTGTCCGCTTTTTCTTATTCTGTCTGTATTAGAGTTCTAACAGGAAACAGATGAGTGTTCCATTTTGAGGGATGACACTACTCTGTGATTGAGGAAATTTTCAGGAGGGACTATTTGCAACAGTGTAGAGAGGGTTCAGGGAAACCAACAAGGGATGTAATGTCCCCAGGCATGAAGGTACAATGAGCACTACCTGGAGAGAACTATAGAAGAGGTCTGCCCAACAGGAACTCAGTCAGGAAAACCTCACTCTTCTACTTTCTGAACTCCCAGCAGTAACTTCTATTGACCAAACCCAGCCAGATGCCAGAGAATAAGGGAACCCCTTTGGAGCAGGGGACTGAGGAGTGGATTGGTAGAAGCAAAAAGAGAATATCCCATACATGCTCATTATTTCTTTACTATGTGTTTTTGAATAATAGTACACAACATCCTTGACATCCAAGATGATACATGTGAGATATTTGCTGAGCAGGGGATTGAATTGATTAGTCTCATCTATGCATAGGAAAGGAATTTAATGTTTGTTGAGCACCAATTTTGTACCAGTGAGCTTAATATTTCACATACAAATCTCATCCTTCAGGGTAGATAGGTATTATTTATTGAATGCCCAGAATGTGTCAGACACTCTTCTAGAGATTGGAGATATAGGAGTGAACAGGACAAAGTCCTTGTTCTCATGAACCTTGCATGCTAATGAAGGAAGACAGACAAGAACAAGCAAACAAATAAATGAACAAGATAATTGCAGGTAGTGATAAGTTATTACGGAGAAAAGTGTCTACTTAGATAAAGTTGTCAGGGAGTCATCTCTGGTGAGTGACATTTGACTTAAGATAGGGGAATAGGAAAGCAGAACATTCTGTGCAGAGGGAAGAATTAAGAAGGAGGTCATACTTCATTGTCTGAAGCTTGATTACCAAAGACTTAAAGAAAAAAAATGAAGGAGGCATAGCAGATGCATTCCAGTATGTAAGAGACAAGGCTTTAAGGTGGAAAGTAAGTTGGCATATACAATCAAGAAACAAAAAGGCAGGTGGAGAGTGGTAGGAGATGAGGTAGGAGACAGAGGTCCAACCATGCAGGGACTTTGGGCTGTGGCAATAAGTGTAAGTTTTATCCTAAGTGCAGTGGGAAGCCATAGGAGGTTTTAAGGAAGAGAATAACATTATTTGTGTTTTTATCATATAACTTCACTTTTTTTTTGCTTTGCTAACTTCTACTTATTCTTCTAGTATCTTAGGTTAAATCACTTGATAAATAGATGACTCAATAACTTTTCTGAATGAACGAAAAATACATGCATGAATGAATAAATGAATTGATTTACTTTCTTTTTTTTTTTTAAGATTTTATTTATTCATTTGAGACACAGAGATACAGAGAGAGAGAGAGAGCATGAGCAGGGAGAAAGGCAGAGGGAGAGGGAGAAGCAGGCTCCCCGCTGAGCAGGGAGCCCGATGCGGGGCTCGATGCGGGGCTCGATGCAGAGCTCGATCCCAGGACGCTGGGATCATGACCTGAGCTGAAGGCAGACGCTTAACCATCTGAGCCACCCAGGCGCCCCGAACTGATTTACTTTCAAGAGCAAGATTCTTTATGCCCCGTGACTAAATGAAATTTTATCTTCAGCTGTGCTGCTCAATTGCTCTCTTTCTCTCATTTCAAAATGAAAGTCAGGTAATCCTTTTGATTAAATTTTCTTTTAAAAAATTTGACAAAAGGAATTGGATCTCATATATATCTTGATCTTTGCATTGGTATTAGTAGCAGCAGTGTTAACCTCCAGCAAGCAAAGTTTTGGAAAACCTTTGGATTCCCAAACACTGTAGGTAATGCTTTGACAGGTTGCTATATGAATAAGTTAATGAGCAATAATAGTACAGATGTATTTAGTATTCCAATTAATTCCTAGTCATCAATAGCTTAATGTCTTTTAAGAACCAATATGGGTTAATTTTATGTACTCTTACGCCATCCCTTCCAAAATCATCCTCCTTCACTGTCTGCCACCATCCTGTCCCCATTTATATACCTTTCCTTCCTACTTCGTTTGGTGTCCATGTCCCTAAGTACCTCATACTCTCAAGCTTCTTTAAGAAAAAAATTAACTCACAAAAATATCAGTAACTTAATTTTTTTTTAAGATTTTATTTATTTATTCATGAGAGAGAGAGAGAGAGGCAGAGTGAGAAGCAGACTTCCCGCAGAGCAGGGAGCCCGATGCGGGACTCGATCCCAGGACTCCGGGATCATGACCTGAGCCGAAGGCAGACGCTCAACCATCTGAGCCACCCAGGCGCCCCAGTAACTTAATTTTTATACCTCCCCCAAATAAGTAAATTTTTAAAAGAGTATATAGAATAAAATTTCTGCATAGAAATGAATAGATATGTTATTTTTGCTTATTTATCTACTTCTTTCAAAGATGTATAGAATAATGGATCTACTACTATCTTTCTCGTTTTGTTTCATTCTCTCCTCTTTCTTCCAGGTTCCCTGGGACATAGGAAAAAATGCCCTCTGTCAATGGACTCATGCTAGGATATGGCAAAATACTTAGCGCCTTGGAGCTTCAAAGTCTTTGCTCATAGAACGAGAAACTTGTGCTAAAGGACCTCTACAAGTCCTTCCAGCTCAGCTATCACATGATTCTCTGAAATATCACTGACTACTGCAATCAGAACATCAAATTGGACTTGGTGAAACTTCTGTTAATGTGGTCTCATTAAAACCACAGATTAAAAACAAATAAATAAAGGAGATATATGGATGCATCCCACTATCTTGGATAGAAGGGATTGGGATGTGAAAATACCATTAAATAGTAACATACAATAAAATGTGCATTCATTCTTTTCTTTAACAATAGCTTTTGAGTGTTTGCTATGTACCAGATACTGTGTGAGGCATGTGGAACACATGGGGGAATAAAGCAGACAGAGAACATCCTTGCCCCCATGGAGGTTATAATCTACAGGAGAAGACAAACAAGACAACTCATTTCTAGAATATAAAGGAGATATTCAGGATTTGTGATTAGGTATTGGTGATTAATTTTTTGTGAAGCAAGGGAGAAGGAAATGTCAAGGATGATTCTGTTTCCTAGTTGGACAACTGAGAGAGAATGTGGTCGCTCCATTTACTGACACAGGAGCACAGGAGAGGAGCAGGTTTGGAAGAGAGGTGGAGGAAGATCATGAGTTTGGTTTAGGACATGTGAAGTAAATGAAAGTAAAGCAATGCAACTTATTTTCAGAAAAAAATTAAAATTTGATGGTTTTGAGAAATTACTCACAAGCCTGTTTTCAAAAGGCTTACTTAGGGGCGCCTGGGTGGCTCAGTCAGTTAAATGTCTGCCTTCAGCTCAGGTCATGATCCCAGGGTCCTGGGATCAAGTCCCACATAGGGTTCCCTACTCTGCGGGGAGTCTGCTTTTCCGTCTCCCTCTGCCGTTCTGCCTGCTTGTGCTGCTCTCTCAAATAAATAAATAAAATCTTTAAAAAAAGGCTTACTTAGCCACCCCATCCCTCATGGAACACTTCATCAAAAATTAATGATGTAATGTATGGTGATTAACATAACATGATACTAAAAAAAAGGCTTGCTTATTTTGAAACAATTTTAGATCTTCAGAAAAGTTGTAAATATAGAGTTCCTGTATACCCTTGACCCAGGCTCCCCCCATGTTAACACCTTATATAGCCTTATATAAGCATAGTACAATGATCAAACATAATAAATTAACATTACTACAATATATTAATAAATTACAGACTTTATTATGATTTCCCTAGTTCTCCAACTAATGTCCTTTTTCTGTTCCTAGATCAAATCCAGGATACTACATTGTATTTAGTTGTCATTTCCCCTCAATCTTCTAGGACAATCTTCTGTGACAGTCTCTTATTCTTTCCTTGCTTTTCATATATTGACACTTTTTAATGTCCCTCAATTTGGATTTATCTGATGCTTCCTCATGATTAGACTGAAGCTATAGAGTTTATGGGAAGAATATCAGAGTGGTGTACCCTTCTCATCACAGCCTATCAGTGGGTGTACATGATATCAATATATCTAATTATTGGTACTATTAATCTTGATTACTTGGTTAAGGTTCGCCAGGTGTCTCCAATGTAAAGTAACTGTTTTTCCTCTTTCGTATTCTGTTCATTTGACGGGAGTTACTAAGTACAGCCCACTTTCAAGAAAGGGGAATCTAATTCCATCTCCTGGAGGGAGGACTATCAAAGAACTCAACAGTAAGTTGTCCAACAGTAAGAAAACTGGCTCATTATCTATATTTACTTATTTGTTCAACCCTAACATACATGTAAAATAGTTTCAAAATTGATAACACAGACCCTGTGATAAACAAATTTACCAATCAGACTTAAATGTTTATGAATAACACTTTTTGTCTTTAGCCTTACAGTAGCTAATCAAAACACTTTTTTACAAAGCTATTTAGGTCAGCTCCTTTCCTCCCCATCCCCTTCAGTGTGGTTATGTCATTCATTTGTAATACAGCTAGATTTATTTGCCATAGCCTACATTCCATCTTGGGTTCCCTTGCCATTCAAGTTGATTTTTTTTTTAAGGATTTTATTTATTTGTGAGAAAGAATGGGAGAACGGGGGGGGGGGGGGAGGGAGAGGGAGAAGCAGACTTGCCACTGAGTGGGGAGCCCGATGTGGGACTTGATCCCAGGTCCCTGGGATCATGACCTGAGCCGAAGACAGACACTTAACCGGCTGAGCTACCCAGGTGCCCTCAAGTTGATTTTTTAAAATTTGCATACAGTAAAATTATCTCTTTGTAGCATAGAGTTCTATGGGTTTTGACAAATGTATAATCATGTATCCATTACCATTCTACCATACAGAACAGTTCA